AGAGAGAGAGAGAGAGAGAGAAGGGGGAAGAAAGAAAGGGAGCAAAATGAGGATAATAACTTGCTTGCTCTTTGGCCTCTCGTTGCTGTTGGCTTACGTGCACTCCAATCCTATCGTGGAAACGGAGGACCTGAATCCGTTGAACGAGGTAAGACTTCTTCGTAAGAATTCTTCGATTCTTCTCTCTTTCCAACGATGGGTGGGAGGAGGGGGGGGGGCGAGGGGGCCGAGTATAAAATCCCACGAAAACGTAACGTAGAGGAGGGAGGGGAGTCTCCTCTATTAAAAATCGTGAAAGTGAAAGCGCCCATTTCGAAGTTTTATCGCCTTGCATCGAGTCGGAAGCTCGTCTAATATCGAGGGTCTACGATCGGGAGATGGGTCAGGAAAGAAGACGCGAAGAGGGAATGGAGAAAAGAGGGAGAGAGAAGGCGGCGAAGAACGAAGAGCGAGGAGTGAAAGTGGTTGGACTTAACTCGAACGAACGCGAAGCGCGTAACTGAAAATTCTGACCCGTGCACGTGCTCGTTCACCTCGCTCTTTCTCCCTCCCTCTCGTCCGTTATTTGTCCTCTCGTAATCACACGAAATTAGACGAGAGATCGACGAGGTTTTGAACCTTGTCGTTTACGATCAATCGGGGACCGAGAGCTCGTCCGAGAGACTCTCGTCGTTTAAAAATTAATTAAATGAAATCTCGGCGAGTGAAGAATAAATTTAATAGTTTACGAATAATGTTATTTCAGTGATGATTTATTTCAGTTAATAAAATATAATTGCAGATAATCGTAATCCCAAACGGTGGTTCGAATAAATATTATTTATTAAACGTTCCAATAAGCGATTACTTTAAAGTGACTTCGAATCGAAGAATTTCCCATCTTAATCTTGGATTCGTTTCGACCAGATATACGTGGTGGAGGCCGAGGATGACCAGGGGGACGAGGGCAGGGCCGACAGGGACAAGAGGAAGATCGCCGTGGCGAAGCTGGGTATATCGAACGGGATAATCAACTTCGTGTTCAACGTAAGAATCGAGCGATGAAAACAAAGTTGGGGGAGTAACTCGCGATGATCATCGTTTGCAGAAGCTGGATTCCTTGATCGACGCCAAGACCAAAGCTCTGTCCGACCTGGACGAGGCGAACAAGGTAAAGAACAAGGCTTACGGGATCGATGTGAACAAGTCGGCCACCAGCAGGTTCATCAGCGAGCTGGTGAACGCGAAAATTCAATCGGCGACTGGAAGTATCGGGCCGGTGGTGAACACGGCCCAGAACTTCTTCTCGAACACGAAGAGCGGATTGACCAACGCCTTCGTCTCGAAATTGGCCCCGCTCAGCTCGATCGCCACTGGTTTGAGCTCTCCACCCTCCACCGGTAAGATCGAGAAACGATCGAAATTTAAAGCTCGAATTTTTATCTTAACCGACTCACGTTTTTTTTTTTTTTTGTATCGAATTTAGGGGACAACAAGGAGAATCTCGATACCAAAGCGACGAACGCGCTCAGCTTTCTGGGAAACATTTTGAACGCCCAGTTAACAACATTGTCGAACTCGAAGGGTCTTTCTAGCGATTCACCGTTTTCCGAAGGGGTACGATAATAACTCTTTCTCTTCTTCCCGTTTTCTATTTCGTTTCGTTGGTTGTTACCTTACACAATTCCACTTCTGTTCTTTGACCGAATACATTCATTCGATTAACAGAAACCTGCGACGACTCCTTACTTCCAATTGCTTGTTTTTCCAATTTGAAAATTACCGCTTGGAAATGGAAATTAAGAAAAAAACAGAAAAAAAAAGATCAGGAATCGAAAGAGGACGGCTTTCGTTAAATGGGTTTCGTTTTTTTTTTTCCCCCTTTACTCGTGGCAAACTTGCATGCATCGCATCGTTCGCAAGAGGGAGTGAAACGTTGCTTGCCAAACTTGTCGCTATGTTTGCATGTAGAGAGCTATTTGCCTGCCGATTATTAACCATCTTCTCGCGAGAATAGGGGCGTTTGGAAAGAATCTGTACTGCGAATACTCAACTTCAAACTCTAGCTATCTACCCTTTGTCGGGACCAAATTAAACACGCAAATTAAAATGAAAACATGTTGTGTACAAACAGTACGATTACGGTTCGCCGCAAGGGGAGCCTTATACGGTTTAAAAAGCGGATGCGGTGCAAGCGAGGACGTTGGATTCAACACTTGGGACGTATCATCGAGCATCGACGCTTAAGAGGATCTAAACGCCCGTCTAAAAAAAAAAGAAGAGAGAGAAAAAAGAGAAAAATAGAAACTAACCAACGAAAGAACTCTGTCACGTCGCGCGCGAACTTCTAACTCATTCCCATAGATTACTAGTACTGTATGGATTTTTCTTTTTAGCTCAACCGATAAATTGCCAGGATCTCCCCTTCTGTCTGTGACAAACCACGGTAACCTAACGTTTAGAGAGACACGCAAGAGATCTTCCCGACCCTCTATCTCGTCACTTGTTCGTGCTAAAGCCAACCGGAAGCCCCCTCCCCCCAACGAGCCAACCATCGTTGTGCGACAGATGTAAATAATATATCAGTTTATATCAGGTGTTGTCAGTTTCCGGGGATTAATCGCGTGTCTCGATCGTCGATGTGTAAATTCTATGTGTAAATATAGGCGTCTTTATTAACCGACATTAAGTAAATAGCAATCAGCAAGGATGGCCATAATTATGGTTTTGGATTGATATTGATGATGATATTGATGTTAAATAAAATCACGATCACGTTCTTTCCTTTTTTTTTTTTTTCTTTTTTTTCTACGAGTTCGAATATCTTTCTTCCAATTAATCGCCCGCATCCCTTTTTCTCTATCCTTCTCCAAAGGATCATCCATTTTTGATAACGCGTGAAATTTGTATGCACGAGCGTGTAAAAAAAGAACACGATCGATCATTTCCTTTTTCTTTTTCGACATTATTGTTCCATCTTCTCGAGACTCCTTAATTTCCTTTTCTTTTCTTTTCTTATCGACCAGACGCTAATTGCAATTAAACAATACGGAACACAATTTTAAATTATCACACGGCGTAGCAATGATCTTTCGCACGCACGATTGCGCCAAACGTTCTCCAATAAATATATGTATATCATGGGAACAAGTTCTCGATCGATCGGAAAAAAAAAACCTATCCCCTCTTTCTCTTTACTCTTGATGTTGGTAACACCAACGAAGTACACGAGGCGAGTAGTTGCGAAAGGCGAACTGTCATTGGCTACTTCTTTTTTTCCCTCTTCTTCTTGTCTATGTCCAGATCTCGACCACGACGGAGGAGGATATCCCCGAATTCGATAGAACGAAGGTGAACTTGGACATACCGCCGGTCGTGTTCGGCAGCGGTTTCACCACAATCACCAATATCAGCAAAATCCTGAGCAACGTGATCACCGTAAGTCCGAGCGAAAATTCGAGCAATTCGATTAAAACTCGATCGATCGAGATCGATGTTATATTATCTCGCTTATTATACGTACGTGATTTGAATTGGCGACAATTCTTTTTTCTTTTTCTCGATTCATTCCATGGTAAACGTGTCACCCTTCACTTTATTGCAAAATTAAGCCGGTTTTCCACGTATATATATATATATATATTTTTTGCGCACGAGTGCAATGAAAATGATCCATAAATAATAATGATTAAACTTCGTCATTGAAGAACGAAGAAGAATGATCTTCTTTTTTCACGCGTTTCAGAACTCAGCTCGTCGAACGCAAACGTTGTTAGAGGTGTTCAAACCGTTCTTCCGTGGAGTTTTCGCGATCAAGGGCCTACCTTCGGATAATCCCCATTAGAGGGTGCTTCTCTCGAGGATTCTGGGATCAACTGCCATTTCAACGGACGATTTTCACGGAGAATCCTGTTCGACGCGCTGGAAGAAGTAGCTGGATCCGTGCAAATAGCCTGCCAACTAGTAGTCTAGATAGATAATACGAATTTTAGGACGATCGTAATCGTAGTTGAAGGTGCTTGTTAGAAGAAAAGTGGAATCACTTTTTATCATCCCTTGCGTGCCAAAACCACGGAACATTTTCGAAGAGAACAATTGTTCTGTTTCGGATCCCAACTCACGAATTGTCGAATCGCACGTGGCGTGAAATATATTTATACGGCCTATGCTTGCCGCGATCGAACGGGTGATCAAACTTGTTGTTGTTTCCTTTTTTTAAGGTAAATTCGTTGCCATAAATTGCGACACTGTTTGCCAGAACTGTAGCTCGCGTGCCGTAAAACGTACGTATACAAACGATGTAATATTTTACATCACGGTTATTTAACGGGTGCCGTAAGTGTGAAGTGCGCTTGGCGGTGAAAATGTTGCAATCAACGCGTTTGCCGTTTGATTTAGGACTTGTTAATGTCGTGTTTTCCGATGAACGTGTAAAATAAACGTGTCGAATCGATTTAATCCTCTTTCACTTCCTACTATGCAAAAATATCATATCGATGATTTCTTTTCCGATTGGAAAGATCTCTCGGCTGTCGGAGAGATTC